ATATATATATATATATATATGACTGAGGTATCGTCGGTTTATGTTAAAGATATTCTAGGTCTTATTAAAGAAAAAGACTCATTCTCTATTGGGCACATTGCACCAGAATGCCTTTATTGCAGCAACGGTGTTTTGTGAATTACAATCTCTCCACCACTTTATTTATCGTTTGTCTGTTCAGCTATAGCGTATTTGGGTTTCTAAGAAGCTGGCACTGCCGGACAATAAAACTCCAAGGTTCAGTTGATGTTCGTATGGGAAGCATCAAAGTATGTTTGTTCATCTTTACGTCCGCCAACCAACTACAGTCTCAACATACAAGGACGAATTTTACGACAGACTTACCGAAATCGTCCGGCTGTGATATATCCGTGTTGGCAGGTGATTTTAGCACGCGGTTTAGAAAACAGTGCATCAGAAGCCTGTCCAAGTCATTTCGCTTTGCCCGTTCAGCAAATATAACGATGATCGAGTAATTCTGTTCTGCACGGGTCATCGGTTGTTCTCATCTAAAAACAACTTTCGACATAGCACTCGATGGTCAACAACACGGTGTTCTAGCTCAACGGGTAAGTTGATCACAGTTAGGGGCTACCGTTGGTGTGGCTCCATACAAAAAGTGGATCATTTTGGTTTACACATTGATGTTGATCAACCATTGGTCATCGGCGAAAACCCCGTCCTCGGTTAGCTCATCAGCGCATGACCCGACTATTTGCATCCATTATGAGGAGAAGCTGAGACAAAGGCTAGCAGCACCGTGATATAGTGGAGTTTATCAACAGTGGGATTAACTTTGACGTGCAATGCGTTCGGAAGCTTGACCCTATGTTTGTCGAATACGTCAAATTTATCACGGGGTAACAGTACTGATGGAACGATAGTGGAAGATCCCGATCTGCCAGCATCAATATAGTAGGAGCTGGTGTCCACAACATGAGCTCAGGAAAAGCATTAGGAGAGATTTCAAAAACTTTGAACCAAAATAAGTAGTGAAAGGCGATCGGCCTCTGCATCAGAGAATAGTCAGTATTGTTTCACCTGACACGCAGCGACTGAAGTGGACAAAGCAATAAGGATCAGCGGCTGAATTACCGTGTGGATTATTTTAGCGGACGGCTTTACTGACCTTGTTATAGGGCGGTTATTCTGACATTACAGTCGAAGCTCCGCGTTTGGTAAGGTGAGCCCCCACAGAACCAGAAACACGAGGAAAGGAAAGGTAGCGGGACCCGATGGGCTTCACCCATTCTTTTTAAGATCTGTCAGAGGGTGGAGGCTGGTGCCGTCGGAGACTCGTCCTAGTTCGCTAAACACCGTTTACTCGGAAGAGCCTATCTGTTTATCTAGGGTAAATCACTTATCGTTCCGATCTCCAAGTGTACCTCACCTAACGGCTGGGTTATGCATTATGGGTTGAGTTAAGTGTGATAGTGCACTGCCGGATAATCTTGAGGGAGATGAATATCCACTACCAAACTGCCCGATTGCATTAAGTCCTCGAGTTACCATACAGATCGTTCGCAACAGTCGCACTGTTCCTTACTTAAATAGAATTCTTCGAATTGGTTGAGCACGAAGCCCTAATGAATTCAATTCTTGGAAGAGGAATGCCTCAGAAATGTGTGGATTTACTGAGGTTACTTTGCTCACTGTACTGCATTTATATGTATTTCATACACATCTGAGCCCAAATTGTGTCAGATCGCGATGCAGCAATCCTGGCAACAAAGGAAACAGTCTACGGTTCGCTAGTGGGAGAGATATTTCTATGTTTTCCAGGCCGAAACAGGTGCATTTTCTTGTAAATTCATTATCAGAACATTCGGTCAACCAAAATCTGACCCGCAAGACATCCGGGTTGCGTGAAAATAACAATCAACTGGGACTGATGTTCCATTTCATCGATCATACATACTTTGGATGGGGTCAAACGTCCGATAAACTCAATATACCTCAACGCAATCAAGCTGCTGACCACTGCCCCAATCAGGTTTTTTGTGTGTGGTTCTCACGTTTCTTGTTTTATTTAGCATGCTTTTTTAAACAACTCAAATAGGTGAACTGCCGTCAGTTTGCCGACCGGTTACAATC